AGAAAACGCTTTTGAAGAGGTCCAAGTGTGTTTCTGCAGTACATCCTTTATATATTACAGCAGCCTTGTTGTCTGGTGATGAAAGGAGTGGATGTATTAGGAAGTGTTTGGGGTGCTGATTAAGAAAACTGCTTGACCTAGATGCTTTCAACATTGAGTATTGATGGAACTGCACCCATCCAGGTGAGTGAAGAATATAAGTTATCCCTTGTAGGTAGTAGATAGGCTTGGGAAGTCCAGAGGTGAGCTACTCACTGATGAACACCCATCCTTGTCCTTTGTTATAGCCATACATTTATGTGACTGGTCCAGTTGAACGTCTGGTGGTTGGTAACCTCTAGGATGTTAATGATGGAGGCAACGGCATTGAATGTCAAGAGGTGCTGGCTAGAGTTTCATTCGTTTGGAGATTGTCTTAGCCTGGCACTTGTATAGCTGTAATGTTACTTATCACTTACCATCTCAAGCCCTGAGGTTGGTCCACACTTTATTACGTGAGGAGTTGTAGAAATCTAGTATAATCAGTGAACTTCTGGAGGCAAGGTTGTTTTGGAAGATAGTTCATCCTTTCTCCTAGGGCTAAGATGGATGGCTTTCAATAATCACAACCACTTCAGTTGATCTCAGTATATGAATCCAGCCTGTGGAGAGTTTACCAATTAATTTTTTTGTATCCTTGATGCCACCATAAACCTGATTGTGCCTTGAGAGAGCTGAAAAGGCAGAGAAGTTTACAAGGTATGAGTAAATATTGGATTTAGGGTTGTATTCCTTAGAAAAGAGGAGACTGAAGGGTAGCTTTATTAAGCTGCACAGAATTATGAAGAGCCTAGATAGAGAGGAAAGATCTGAATCTCCTAGTGGTGAGGTCAACTGCAGGGGCACAAATTTAACGTGATTGGTAGAAGGATTATAGAGGACATGAAGAAAATCTTTTTTACCCAGAGGGTGGTGGGTCTCTGGAGTTCCAAGTTTGCCGTCGTCAGTGACCTTCCCTCCATTATAAGGTCAGAAATAGGGATGTTTACTGATGAATACATAATATTCATTGCTCTTCACAACTCCTCAAATACTGAAGCAGTCAACAGACTTGGACAATACTTAGGCTTGGTCTGATAAGTGGAAGGTAATATCTGCACCATATGAGGCAATGACCATCTCCAAAAAGGAAGAATCCAACGACCAACTTTGCACATTTATTGGCCTTACCATCATTGAATCTCCCACTCTGAACATGCTGAGGATTACCATTGACCAGAAACTGAACTCAGCCAGTTACATAAATACTATAGCTACAAGAACAGGTTGGAGGCTGGGAACTTTAAAGTGAATAACTCATCTCCTGACTGGTCAAAGTCTGACCACCTTCTATAAGGCACAAGTTATGAGTGTAATGGAGTACTCTTCGTTTACCTGGATGAATACCATTCCAATAACTCTCCCCTAAGAAGCTCAATACCATCCAGGGCAAAGCAGATTGTTTGTTCAGCACCCCGTTGTCATTCACTCCCTTCACCACTGACTTACAGTGGCAGTAGTGTGTATTCTCTACAAGATGCAGAGCAACAACTTGCTCACGCTCCTTCAAAAACACTTTCCAAACTCACAACCTCTGACATCTAGGAGGATAAAGACAGTCAGTTACGTGGGAACACCACCATCTACAAGTTCCCCTTCAAGTCACATACTGTACTATCCTGACTTGGAACCATATTACTTTTCCTTCACTGTTGCAGGGTCAAAATCCTAACAACATTATGGGTGTTCCTACACGACAAGGACTGCAGCAACAGCTCACCACCACCTTCTCCAGGGCAAATACGGGATGTTGGTGTAGTCAGTGATGCTCTCATCCTTTGATGGAATTAAAAGAACATTATTGGGTCTTGATATAATAGTAAAAATGACTTGCAATTCATGAGGCAGTAATCAATTGATGTGTCAACACTATCTCTCTGCAATATTGTTACATCCATGAATTGACAACAGTAATTAAAGCAAGCCGGAGTGTTCCTGAATTGTTGGCCTCTTTTTAAACAAAAATAGTTTAACTGTTTACAGAACTCTGTAGCATCAGTGTTTACAAGGCTACAGTACTTACCCATTGCCACTAGAGCAGTCTTTTATCAGCTATGCTGAGCAATATCTAGTAACACTGAAAGGAATCACAAGACACTTATGCCTCTGAGGTTGACCAATCAGTGGCAGGGGAACTCCACAATCCTGGGTTTCATTTCCCGATTAATGTTCTGACAAAAATGCTCTGCTCCACCATACCTTGCATTCAGTCTCAACTTCTCACCCAACTGTTATAACCTCAGGGAGAAGCCATTGGCCTTGTGGATCTCATTTTGTTCGCTCTTTTGATGACTGTTTTTCAGTGAAATTATTATGAAACAACGTCAATGAGTCACTTGATCCTGAGCTCAAATTGAATCAGCTATCTTAGCTAAATTAAGGTGGAAGCAAAATCTAATTTCTGCATCTAATTTCATATCATTGTTCAATGCTGAACTGAATGCGATTAATTTGCCATGTCAGATATGATATGAACTGAATGCAATTGATTTGCCACATCAGATATGATTCTATGAATATTGCAATTACTCAGACAGATCCAGAAAGTTCCAAGATTGAGATGAGACTTGTACTGAGCTAATTTACCTCACATGGAACAGCTATTTGTCTCTGCTCCACCAGCTAGAAACAAGAAAACTCATGGATCTTAGGTAGGGACAGAATGGCCTTGTCTCTAGGCCAGCAGCGGTTGAATATCCTAGTAATACTCACAGTCTCAGTACTCATAGAACCATAATCCTAGCACTGACCTCCTTAAATATAAAACTTGTGCTGCAGGAATGTAGGGTCACAAACAGATCTATGTTTTTGTTTTTATTCATGGGATGTGGGTGTCTGACCAGGCCTAGCCTTTATTCACCATTCTTTGACCATCTCTAACTGCACTAGATAAGGTGGTGGTAAGCTGTCCTTTTTAATTGCTGAAATCCTCAAGTTTCGATACATCCATGTGCTGTTAAGGAGAGAATCCCAGGATTTTGACCCATGGACAGTAAAGGAATGCATAATATAGTTTCAAGTCAGGATAGTTTGTGGCTTGGATGGGATTTTTCAGGTGGTGGTGTTACCATGCATTTCTGTCCTTGTCTTTCTTGATGGTTGAGGTCATGGGTTTAGTGCTGTCAAGGGAGCATTTGTGAGTTACTGCAGTACATCCTGTAGATGATACACACTGCTGCCATTGGTTTTGAAAAGAGTGAATATTGCAGGTGGTAGATGGGGTGCCAGTCAGGTGGGCTGCTTTGTCCTGAATGATGTCAAGCTTCTTCAGTGTTATTGGAGTTGCACCCAGCTAGGCAAGTTCAAGAAGGATGATAAGGTTACACCCTTTAACTATATACTAGACAGTCTAATATTAAGTGAGGATAATTTCTTAGACTCCATCATTCAAGATTGAACAGTAACATTGGAAATGCAAGGTAAAATTAAGAACAAATTTAACGGAATTGTTTGAAAACGTAGATAAAACGTTTCTGTGGATACAGAATATAGGATCTTCAGAAGGTATTTGTTAAGTTGTCGCACAGGAAGGAGGGAGGCAGCGTTATAATGGTAATGTCACTGAGCTAATAATCCAGATAGCCAGGCTAATAGTCTGGCTTGAATTCCGCCATAGCATTTAGAGAAATTTGAATTCTATAAGAGTCTTGGATGAAGAGAAGGACTAGTCTAATGCTGACGGTGTAACCATTGTTGATTGCTTTAAAAACTCATCTGGTTCACTAATATCCCACTAGTCTGGCCAAATGTGATTCCAGACCCACAGCATTGTGGTTGTCTCGTAACTGCCTTCTGGGCAATTAAGATTGCACAGTAATTGTTGACCAACCAGTAATGTTAAAAATTTAAGAGTGCTTTTCTGGAGAGCCATACGGGTGGGTAGAGGGGCATTGGTTAGCATGGAAAGTATGATGGGCTGTGGGGTGGGCAGAATGGATTGGCTTTAGTGGGAGTGTTTTGAGGCGGGGGCTTGAATGGGAATGTTTTGGGGGAATGGAAGAGGGCTGTTCCTGTTTTTTCATTTTACAGCTTGGACAAAGTGCCTGTACACAAAGGTGGCCCTTTGAGGCAGTCGACTTCTGTACTCAGTCGTCCCTTTGCCCCTGAAGTCCAGCCAGTATACAGACACCTGAGATTCCTGGAACCACTGCTGTAGCACTCAAAAGTGGGGCACAGCTGAATGTCTGCCAGAAGATCTGACTCTGGTTAACACCCCTCCCTTGGAAATGAAAATCAAATTAACTTGGCACTTTCTTATGAGTCACAAGTGAAAATTCAGTCCTTTCTGTTCAAGCTGCTGTTCTTCAGATTTGTAAGTTAACAGTAAACTGAAATGGTAGCTCTGCAAAACCATAAGAAGCACAATAGAAGTGGGAACTAGCTTGATGGCTGTTTGACTCTTTATCTTTGAGGTAGGAAATTTAGGCAGGGTATTTCTTTCATTTACTCCATAAAATAGAGATGACATTCAGTGTTTGATGTCCCACCAGTATCACTGTTGGACTTGTGAACAACAGAATATATCCTTTTTGTCCAGAACAGCCAATATTCTACAATTCCAACTTTTGACATTCAGTGACCTCAATGGGTCTCGGGATTTGGGATATGATTAACACAATGGCATACCTTCTGGCACACTTTCAGCTGTGCCCCACTTTTGAGTGCTACAGCAGTGGTTCCAGGAATCTCAGGTGTCTGTAAACTGGAAGTCTGCTTGGCAATGAAGGGATCACAACCAAATCCAATGCTCCACTCGTCTCTCTCTGAGTAGTGCTTAGCAAGAATGGCACTGCTTAAATTATTTTTCTCTCACCTCAGCTTTCAGTTCTCCTGTAGCTATCCTATGATTCAAATCAAAGATTTGGTCTCTTGTTTCTTAATTTGGATAAAAACCATGAGACAGAGACAAGACCAGCTTCTAATTCAGGGTAATGAACAATTTATTTGATTTTTACAAGGTACGCACTTGTCTTACATTCCCATCGTCTACTGTTTGCCATAAAAGTGCAGACAGAATTATGAAGAAAAAGTTCTATTAACAACACTTTAGAATGGAACAAAGAAATGGTAAGAAAAACTAGAAAAGTCACAATTTTCCTATAATTTGTAACAAAAGGAAAGGGTTTGTTAAGTTACAGGGCATTTGGTGCTATCTGTGGACTCAGACAAAGCAGTATTTTAGTCCAGTGCTGTAATATACTGCTCTTAAATACTAATAAACCAGATAGTGCAGGCTCTTTCGCAGGCCTGCCGATACATGCTGTTAGCAAGCCTACCTCAGACCACCCTTTCTATTCTGAAATTTACACTTGAGAGCACTGCATTTATCAACCAAGTTGTATTGCCTGGAGGTAAAGGGAATTGGGAGGAGGAGAGGGTGGGAAGGGAATGGGCTATTTGAAGTGCAAATAAATTGTGTTATTTAATTTAGTCTGTCTTATATTTGATACCGGTGACTCAAACGGATCCAAATTACATGGTTGAACATTGAATGATTTCCTTGGGACTTCTTTATTTGTGGCTTTGGGAGATAGGACATGGGAATAAAAGATTACAGCAGCAGAAGCACAAGATAAAGGGGGCAGGATGGCATTAACACTCAGATTCACAGTGGAAACATGCCTTGACTAGATCCACAGACCAACAGTTAATACATTTTACAAAGAGAAGAATTTAAGCTATCCAGAATAGATTTTTTTGCAGCCCTGTAAGTTTACAAGGAAATAAAATTGGCCAAACATTATTGCTGTTAGACTCTGGCAATACAGCACCAATAACTGGACGAATTGAGTCTGTTCCGGCTAATGCCAAAATACACTTTTCATATAGATAGGATAGCTTCTATTGGTCTAAAGACAACTTAAACTCTTCCTCTCCAATTGTCTCTGCTCAAATCATTAATCAATAAAACCTCTCATAGATTAGCTGCATTCCATTGAATAAAGTAAGCTAGAGAGAGCACCAGTGATTACATGTTTTAACACCTCAATTTTATCAGTATATGAAAATAACAAACCACTACATAGAAAATGTATCAAAATAGTTTATTTTTCTGCTAGTAGGCTATTGCTTTCAGCTTGTAGTAATAGAACTTTAGTTTGTTGTGTTAGCTGTTACAGAAGTGTATTGAAATATCTGCAGGTCAGATCTGGCTATGGTTCAATCCTCGCATTGTAAAAAGGAAAACAATGGCTCAACACTTTTAAATAATCCATCTGACTTTTGACCTGCCAATGAGATAGGGATGAAGTCCAGTGGACCTCTGTGCCTTGGCTTATGAGTTAAAAGTAATGCAGTTAATTTCTATTTACAAGGACACGGGCTCTATTTACAAAATTATTCTTTGTTTTTGTTGATATTTAGTTCTACCTTAGGAAGACGGAATCCTGCTCTGGATCCACTTTCGTTGCTGGATGAGGAGGATAGGCGGGTCTTCTTAGAAACTAGAGAGATACCACTGCCCTCTGCTGCTGCCTCACCTTCACCAAGGGTGACCTCATAGGAGCCCTTTGACTTTGCCCCAAAGCCTCCAAATGTTCCAAATTTCAGTTTTGATTTCTTTCCTTTTGTACCCACAGCCGCCTCTCCAAAATCTACTCTATCTTTGGGGGATGATGGTGAAAGGTCATGCTCATCACTCAGAGATGACGACCTATGACGTTCTGATTTTTTGCCTTTAAATATTGAGAAATCTAGTGTGCCTGACTTCCCTTTTGGGGAAGTGTTTATGTCCAAACCAGAAGCTTTACCAGATCCAGCCATTTCTGCTCCTTCCATTTCAATGTCACTGAATCCCAGGCTACCCTTTGAGCCCTTAATATCAATCTTTGGTCCAGACACACTGAATTCACCCTCTGCTCCTTCAATACTACTTTTCCCTTTAGACTTAGAAAAATTAAATTTGGGCATTTTAAGTTTCCCCTTTTTTACCTTAACCCCCGAACTATCTATATCATCTTCTGGCAGCCTAATATTTGCCTGTGGTCCTTTAATTTTGACATTTGGACCTTGTGCACCTGAAACACTGACACCTGTTGCCATTTGATGTGCTTCTACATTTGGCCCTTTTATTTGAAATTGAGAATGTTTAAATTTAGGTATTGTCATTTTATCCAAAGGAACATCAAGATCAGCCATTGCTGCTTTAATATCTGCACTTATGTCTGAAGCTTTGACATCAAGCTCTGGACTTTTCACATCAATTTTGGAACTGGAAACAGCAACACCACCTTTGATTGTAGGGCCTTTTGCATCAAATTGCACATCAGCTGTCGGAACTTTTACTTCAGGGCTCTTTACTTTAGCACTTAAGTTCACATCTGGTACAGCAACATTTATACCTCTCTTTATGTCTTGCTCAAACTTTGGTTCAGAAAATTCTATGTTAGCTTTTGGCACATTAATATCAATACTGGAACCTTTTCCTTTTAGACCACCAATGTTGATATTTGATGTATCCATTTTCACATTTGGCCCCTTAATGTCCAACTCAGGGCATTTTATATCAGTATCCAAACTTCCTTCTAATTTAGGGCCCTTCACATTAACATCAACATCAGATGCAGAGATCCCTTTTATCATCTGTCCTGCGAGGTTTATATCAGCTTTTGGAAGATTGATCTGAGGCATCTTTAGCTTTCCTTCTCCACCTTTAATGTCAATATCAGCACCACTAACATCTATATTAGGACCTTTTACATCCACATCTGGTCCTGTAAAGTTTCCTTTGATATTTGGGTTGGAAATATTGACATCTCCTTTTATCTGTGGATGCTTTGAATCTAAGTCCAATTTAGGTGCGGAGATGTCAACTGAAGGTATTGGAATTTTGGGTCCTTTGAATTTACCATCAGCATTTATGTTCATATCAGGTGTTTCAAGATTGACATGTACAGCTGGTGTCTTAACATCACCTCCTATCTTCACTGCATTTGTGTCGAGATTCAGATCAGGACCTTGCAATTTAGTACCAGAAATGTTAATTGCAGGCATCTTCAGCTTTCCTTCTGCACTCTCAAAATCACCATCTGGTGACTTGAGACTTGATCCTTTCAGTTGTAGATCTGGACCAGAGATATTGGGTTGAAGGTCAATACTGGGTGCGTCAATGTTAACCTCAGGTCCTTTAATTCCACTCTCTAATTTTGATGTATTAACATTAATGTCCACACCTGAACCTTTCAATTTGGGTCCTGAAATATTAAGCTTTGGTTTCTTTATTTTCATTTTTAATTTGCTTTCTGGTTTTTCAATATCAACATTTGGAGCATCAATGTCAAAATCTATTTCAGGTCTCTTTATGTCAATTGTTGGTCCTTTTACATCTCCTGATACTTCACCTTTCAGATTTGTGTCCTTTAAATTAATATCCAAATTTGGCTCAGACATTTTGGATGATTTGATATTTAGTGAAGGCAATTTTAATTTTGTGCCCTTAGCTTTGAAACCATGTCCTTCCAAGGCAACATCCGCATTGACATCTACTCCTGGTGCTCTGATGTCAACATGTGGACCTTTTACATCTGCAGATGAAACATCAATATTAGGTGCTTGTAAATCTCCTTCAATTTTTGAACTAGGTAGTTCACCTTTAGCTTTTGATGATGCCAGATCAAATTCAACATCTGGAAATGTCAGCTTCATTTTTCCAAATCGCTGTTTCTTTACTTTTGGATGCTTGATGTTCAGTTGTCCATCGGATGATCCAAGTGTTACATTTAGATCTGGGGACTTAATATCTGCTTCTGGTTTGGATAGATCAAGTTCACTTGTTGGAGTGTTCACCTTCACATCTCCTGCAGGTTTCTTTGATTTGATATTGAATTTGGGCATCTTAAATTTGCCCTTTTTTCCTTTGGTGCTTATGTTCAAGTCTGCTGAATCAACATTTAAATCTACGTCGGAACCAGAAATGTCTAGAGATGGTGCATTTATGTCACCTTGTGGTCCTTTAATTCCAAATCCAAATTTCGGCTTCTTCATTTTTGGCATTTTCAGATGTGCACTTTGACCATCTGTATCTATCTCAGGTGCACTAATATCAACACCTAAACTTGGAGATTTAATATCAGGACCCTCAATTTTGATATCAGGTGCCTCAATATCTACTTTGGGACCTTTGATGTCAAAACCTGAACCTTTAATGTCACCTTCCATGTTAATATCAGCTGCAGCACCACCTGGCAGTTCAGGACCCTTAAATCCAAAATCTAAATTAGGAGCTTTCATTTTGGGTAAAGAGATGTTAATGCCTGGCATTTGAAATCCAGGGCCTTTGATTTTACCATCAACATCCAAATCTACCTCAGGAACTTCAACCCCACTTTTTATCTGTGGTCCAGAAATACTAACATCTGTCTCAGGAACATTGGCTTTAATGTCCACATCAGGTCCTTCTAATTTGGTTCCACCCATCTTAAATGTGGGCATACTGATTTTTGGCATTTGGAACTGTCCGTGTGCACCCCCCAAGTCAATGTCTGGAGTCTCTACATCAATCTTTGGTCCTTTAATTTCTCCCTCTATACTTGGTGAAGAGATGTCAATGGTCTGATCACCCTTTAATTTTGGGCCTTTGAAATTTAAATCAACATTGGGAGCTGTTATATGTGGCAAATGTATTGAAGGCATTGAAAATTTTGCTCCAGTTTCTTTAACATTAGGTCCCTCGATATCTAATTTGGGACCTTTAATGTTCAAATTCTTGCCTTTGATGTCACCCTCCATATCAATACCAGGCACCTCCAAATCCCCGGAGACTTTTGGACCTTTAAGTTCCAGGTCCAAATCAGGCTTTGGAACCTTTGGAGCAGAGATATTGATTCCAGGTTTATTAATCTTAGGGCCTTTGATGTCACCAGAAAAATTAACATCAGGGACATCGACATCTCCCGAGAGTTTTGGACCTTTGAGTTCCAGGTCAAAATCAGGCTTTGGAATCTTTGGCCCAGAAATATTGAATCCTGGTAATTTGAATTTAGGGCCTTTGATTCGGCCAGAACTTCCCTCAATGTCTAGATCTACATCTGGCATTTCTATACCACCTTCCATCGCTGGTCCTGTTAGATTCACATCTGCCTCAGGGAGGCTGGCATCAATATTCACATCAGGCCCTTCTACTTTCCCTCCACCAAACCCAAATTTTGGCATTCTGATTTTGGGCATGTGGAATTTGGAACTCGGACCCTTAATATTAGCCTCAGGAGCATCTATATCCACCTTCGGGCCTTTGATCTCACCTTTTATGTTGGGAGAAGGGAGGTCAACATCGTGGTCAGCTTTCGCCTCTGGGCCTTTGAGACTCAAATCAAGATCAGGAGTCTTGATCTTG